CCTTCTCGCCGCCCGCACCCCTCTCCTCTGCGACGTCAGCAACCCCCGACCCACCATCCCTCACCCAAACCCATCGCAACCACCCACGAACCGACCCAACTGACCTTCAACCGCCCTCAACCGCCCTCAACTCCCCCAGCCGTACTCCATCCAGGAGCTGCGGGAGTTTGTGGCCTTTGCGCGCGCCCGCATCTCGCCGCGCTTCACGGACGCGGCGGCGGCGGCGCTGGTGGCGCGCTACAAGCAGCTGCGGCGCCAGGGGCGCACCGCGCAGGTGAGAGCCCCTGCCCTGCGCGCACGCACGCGTACGGACATGGCCGCCCGTCCCTGCGGGGGTGCGGTCCCAGCATCAGCATGGCTCTGGATAGGGCTCGCCCCAGGCGGCCCTGCCCGTGTCACTTGGCTCGCCCCTCTGCGCCCCGCAGCTTGCCAGCGCGCGCGTTGCTGAGTTCTCTTCCCTCTGCCTTCACCTCAATCAACACTCACACACTGCCACAACCCACACACACAAACGCACACACTCCTGCACACACACACACACACACACACACACACACATTTCTGGCGTGCGCGCGCAGGTTGTGGTGGCGACCCCCCGCCAGCTGGAGGCGCTCATCCGTCTGAGCGAGGCGTGGGCCAAGATGCACCTCAGGGAGGAGGTGGTGGAGGGTGACGTCACCGCGGCATACAACCTCTGGTGGGGGGGTTTGGGGGATTTGGGGTCTGGGGATGGGCAGGGCTTCGTGCGAGGGGGTGGCGCGGCGTGCGCCGAGGCGTCCTGCGCGCGCGGGCTTGGTGGTGCTGATGTGCTGATGGGGCTTGCACGCATTCAAAAGTGCACACGGCTTCTTTGCACACGCGCGCGTGCATATTCATTGATGCTCACCCGGACACACACACACACACACACACACACACACACACACGCAGGTACGACGCCATCAGCGTGTCTGCAGCCGACGAGACCGGCCGCCTGGACATCGACACGCTCGCCACCGGCGCCAGCGCCGCGCAGCAGCGCTTCCTGCAAGAGCTGCCTGGGCTGCTGCGGGAGACACTGGGAGGTGGGGGCCCTCGGGGGAAAACGGGTGGAAGTGGCACGGGCAGGGGACCGGCTGGGTGCCACCTGGGCTCTGGGGTCCGACAGCGAGCGTGTCTGCTGCCGCCCCTGCGCGGCCGGGGTCTTGTGGCATCCGGGCGGCGCCGGCATGCGTGCCGCGGCCGCAGGGCAAAAGGCAGTGCCGGCCCGCGCCGACGCGGCGGCTGCCGGCGCGCCGCCTGAGGCCCCGCTCGTGTCGCGCTCACCAGCCCCTGACGGCCGCGACCGCCCCCGCTCCCTCGCGCCCGCGGCGCATCTCTTGCAGAGCTGTTCCGCCACAAGCCCTCCTGCACCCTGAACGAGTTGATGGAGGCGTACAGCCAGGGGCTGGCCGCGCAGCAGCAGCAGCAGCAGCAGCAGCAGCAGCAGCAGCAGCAGCAGCAGCAGCAGCAGCAGGACGGGGAGCACGCCGCCGCTGGCGCCGACGGGCGGCGGCGGCGGGTGACGCCGAAGCAGCTGCTGGCGGCGCTGTACCAGCTGACAGACATTTGCAACGTGAGGGGGGCCGTCATCACCGCGCGGCGCGCGGGCGGCGGCGGCGGTGCGGCCGGCGGCGGCGGCGGCGACGAGTAGTGCGGGGCGTGGGTTGGGCAGAGGACCAGGCCGCCCCGCATGTTTTTTCGCGGCAGGCTCGTGCAGCGGGCGGCGGCCCACGGCGGCCGTGGCGGCTGCTGCGCCGGTCTTAGTTGTTCAGCGGTCCAAATGGCGCCTCGCTTCCCGGGCCGCCATTGATCAAATAGTTGCGACTGCCGGCAAGCGCGTGTACGTCACAGGGAGAGCCAGCGGGGGCGTCCCTGGCATGCGATCTAGGAGACGACACCCACTGGACGCGCGCAGTGCACCGCACCCTATCCCCCCGTGTTTCTTTTCTTGGCAGAGCCCTTCATCATACGTATGCTTGCGGCTCTGCCGACCCAGCAGCTCGGCCGTGCGGGGGGCGCGCGCCCTGCGAATGTGGGGTCACTGCACACCAGTCTCCCCTGCCCTGGGCTCGCAGCCCCTGGAAGTCCGTTTACTTTGACATGACAAAGCAGCATACCACTTAGTATCGCTGTGCCCTGATTTGGCTTGTGCCTGTAACTTCAAGATCCACCCTTTGGTCCAAGAGGGGGGCGTCCAGGGAGGGGGGAGCGCGGCGCCGCCTCGTGCCGAGGCTCTGTCGATCACCAAGGTCGTCCTTGCTGTCCGCACTTGGGCCCTGACTCATCGGCGCGATCATGTTGGGAAGAACCATCGATTGCCCAGCAGCCCACTGGGCAAGGCCAGGCCGCGCCGGTGCGGTGGGCTCGAAAAGGTGCTTGCATCGACCAGACACACTGACATCCCGCGACCCAGCGCGTCGCTGCATCGGCAGGGCAACCGCCTTCTGAGACATCCTGACACGACAATCCGCTCCAGCTTAGCTGCGCTTTCGTAATGCTATCGTGATCGCCGTGTGAAAGCGCTAGGAACAGGGAAAAGTAACCTTGCACGCCAAGTTACGACATTTTGTCCCCCTTGACGGCATCACGAGAGGGCGCACGCGGGCCAAACAAAGGCTATTATTGGCATACAACACACATAACCTGCTGAAGCCGTCTCACCCGAGGGTCACCCGCTGTCGAGGAACCCGGCCGGACCTTTCTGCCTCAATGGTGATCTCTTGCACACACTGAAAGTACTAGCCGCACATGAGCATGCCTGCATTTCAAGCAGGCAGCGCGGCAAAGGCCGACGGGCCTCCTAGCAATGCCATGGCTGCGGACAATAGCTCCGCCGCGGCCACGGTCGATGCCGCCGCCGCTGGTGCCGCCGCGGCTGCGGACGCCGGCGGGCCATTGCCACGGGTGGTGGCGTTGGGTGATTCTGTTCTCTTCTGGTGGTGTGGCCGCATCGTGTCTCTGGCGCGGGGGCGGGGCACGCTCGAGGCGGGGGACGCGGCGGCGGCGATGCCGCCCGGCAGCCGCGCGGACATCAAGGCGCAGGTGGGTGGGCGATCTACGGCTGCTCGGGGCGGGCGCGGCTGCATTGAGGCGCGGGAAGCAACACAGGCGAGGCGAGGCCTCCGGCTGGAGCGCCTCCGGCGCCAAGGGCAGGCGGCGGGGTGTGCGAAAGGTGGCACAAGTTAGGCTTGGGGTGGGGCAAGCAAGCCGGGCATTGGAGGCTCGTGCTTTCCTTGGGGTTTGGGGTCCCGGCTTTCTGCCCTCGAGATATTGCAGGGTGATGTTGTCGCTGCACGCCGCAGCAGTGGCGCGTGCCGGCTCGCGGGGCGCTCACCGCTGTCCAGGGCGCAGCTGTTGACGCTGCGCCGGCGGTTTGTGCAGCGAGGCAACTGGGTTCATATTCCAAGAAGGGAGGGCAGCGCAGCTGAGCACATGCCAAAGGCACCTCCTGCGTGCGTTTCCTATTTTTACCTCCAGCAACGTCCCCCCTCCTCCTCCGAGTGCGGCCGAGGGTGCGGCGCACGGTCGCTGCAGCTGAGAGCACCCGAGCCCACGCCCCACGCCACCGCACACGCACCCCCAACCCACCCACCCACCCACCAATGCCCCTCACCATGTCCTTGGAAACCGCGTCCGCAGCTGACCAACGGGCCGCCGTGGGTGAGCGCCACCGCGGCGCTCTCGTACAGCGTGACGACGCTGTCGGTGTTCGGCCACCACCGGCGGTGGCTGGCCCTGCGCGCCGCGCTGGCGTTCCTGGTGCTGGGGCTGCGGCTGTCGGTGCCCCTCATGCTGCGCGGCTTCGTCAGGTGCGGCGGCGCGGCGCGGACGCGGACGGGGATGCGGGCGGCGGCCGGGCCCTTTTCGTGGGCCGGGCCGGCAGCGGGGCGCAGCATGGTGCGGCCTTGGAGCGCCGGAGCAGCCAGCAGCGTCCAGCTTGAGCGGCCCAGCCGGGCGATGTTCACGCACAGAGTGCGCAAAGACGCATACAACTGGAAGCATCTGAGGCCCAGCCACCGCTTGAACAGGTCGCGTGTGTGCTGCTCGCACGCTCAACCCCCCCCCCCCCTCCCACACACACACCCGTGCTTGCACACACACCGGCACAAACGTCTGCACACACACACGTCAACGCGGGCCGCAAACACGCAATTACACACACATGCACAATCTGACTGTCTCAAAC